GATACCACTTATCAGACACCTATAATGCAGTCTTCACATTTCTTGCTAGACAGGCCAACACTGTGGCTAGTCGTTTTAACATTAATTGAATAAAAAGTCTGATTATATAGAGTAAAAATACAATTTTTTGTCCAGATATCAATGACACCATTCTGACTAATCAAAACGACATTTAGTTATCTCAGTGTTTAAGTTTGGACCAGTCAGGATAACGGTTACAGATATGACTTATCAGACAAAACACAGTCTTGAAATCCCTCCCTAGACAGCTTAACACTATGGTAAGATGTTGCACCATTAAACTGATAGGTTTGACTGTCCAAAATTAAATTTACAGATGTCAACAACGTCATTGTGACCAGTCAGAGTTTTAATTCAACACATCTATAATGTCATTCTGATGAGTCAAACCACAGTTAGAGGTCCCTGTAATTTAGTTTGGACTAGTCAGAATATGAAAATGACGTTGCAGACCTTCTGTCCGTTACCACCACGACTTCCAGGTTGTCCCGGGTTTCCAGGTTCTCCATGTTCACCCTGAAGAGAAACCGACAGACCAGAAGAGTTAAAACTGTTTGTAATGTTCACATCAGTAGTCTAAAACCAAGCAGGGTGGTGATGCACTGACCTGAGGCCCAGGAAAACCAGGAAATCCTCTGGGTCCAGGTTCACCGCTTTCTCCTGTGCGTCCCTGCAGAGAAAACATGTGTCAGGACAGCGATCCCCCCACAGAACATCTGAATGATTATCCACACAATCCAAAGTTCATGTCATTATCATAGTATGATATCTATATTTCTAATTATCTTGAAATATGCAACTACTATTGTGTGTTTGACTAATTATTATTACCATGTAAGTCTTACATACAGAGTTTCTTTTACATATAATATATTCTAATATTTTTACACGTATTTTACTTACTACACTACATTACAAAAAGAACTACACCAATCCCTCATTAAATGCATGGCAGCAAGATTAGATTACATAACTGTTGTAAATTGAGTTGTTTTGACATGAAAATGCTGCATCAACTTAATTTTGTGTGTCATTTAAACTCAAATTTCTGCATTATTTGATTTAAACCTAAATTCAAGTTTAGGTAACTTAATGAAGTTGATTTTGCGAACTATTATTTCTTCACCTTGAGTTCAGAATTTTAAGTCTCCTCCCTGCCTACTCAACACTGGAGCAACTTAATTTTAAATTTGTGAACTTAAATGTTTGTGTTTACAGTTATGGTAATTAAGCACATAACAATCAGTTTAAATAACATGCAAATATGACTCAAAATGACTTAGGTTTTTGGGGTAAACAACTGAAAGACTATAGGCAACCTATCATTAAGTAACTACAATATTTGAAATTGCAGAGGAACTTCGCCCTAAGTCGGCTGGGATAGGCTCCAGCCCCCCCGCGACCCTCGTGAGGATTAAGCAGTGTGTAGATGATGGATGGATGGATGGAAATTGCAGAGGAAAAGTTCATTCAAGTTAAACCTACTAAAAATGGCTTCATAACTTTGGGATTTCAAATTCTCTTCTCTATTTTAAAATGCATGTATATTTTTAGATGATCAAGACTGGAAGTTTAAAAAGATATATAGAGAGCAAAAGGTCATTTCACAAATTCAGTGTAGTTTGTTGGTTGAACTTAATAAGCAGAAGTTATTGTACCTCAAAAATATTGATGCAAACTGTTTCGGTTGAGCCCAAACACGATTATTTATAGCGCACTGTGAAACTATCCTGTGCGACATTATACATTACATTAAACTATGCAACTATCCAATGCTAAATCTTATTTCTGTTACAAGCAAACATCTTTATCACGTTGAGGAGGAACCTGTATAAGAATCTGCAGCCACAAATGTTTTGTAAATCAAGTGTGTACTTCTCTACTTTTTATACCATTTTTCATTCATAAAAGACTTTAAATATTACACCCTGTGCGTGTTGCACAGTTATGTATATAATTATTCATCGTGTCATATCTGCATACATGAAAGGTATCCAGTGTACATACTCTATAGTATCTTTATTATTATTATTTTAAATCTTTCTTTTATGTCTGTATATCTTTGCTGCTTCACTTGTATCCATCACTTATCATGTTCTCCCATCTACTTAGATCTGCTTAGATCTTTAAATCTGATAGCTGCTGATTGTTTCCATTTTTCATAAAATGTTTTCACAGATGCAGTCCATTAAATGTTACAGTTATTCAGTGGAAAGCGGGGGCCTAACAACAGGGGATCTGGATAGCTTAAAGCACAACTGGCATTCTAACGGTTTGACTTTTCTTTCTCACACACATGGTTTCTCTTTCCGTAAAGAGTTTCAGTGAATTTCTCTGGAAGTCTGTCCATCAGCCAAACAAGTAATCACATTCAAATCTGCCAAACACACCAACTCTACTTTCCTAAAACATCACATCCATTGTGAACAGAAAGACACCGACACCCCATGACCCGGCTGATGCCAAATATCGCTGCATTAATCCTAATTTATGATCCCCTGTGATCTCTGAGTGCTTTTTTCAGGAAACATTTGTTTGTCTGGCAGATATCGGACTGTGTGCAGCTGCTCCAAATAGCTCCTCACTCAATAAAAACACACTTGGTCTGTATTTGGATGTTTTCAGCTCTGTGATCCACCACACTAGGTTTAAAACGAAAAGTGGAAGCTGTTTAATGTTAGCTGGGCTTTCCTCACAGTGAAATACGAATGAATGTGTGAAACAAGTAAAAGCAAGAAAAGGACAAAAGTGAGTGAAGCGTTAGCTTATTCTGCAGGTTGTGGGTGCACACTCAGTAGGTTAACCATTTATTTCAGAATGACATGCATTTTGTGTTTGGCAGTGACTCTGCTCGAGTGATGCTCTTGAACAATCATAAGCATGACGAAGACAGTCCCTGAGCTCATAAACCCTCAAACCTAAAGGGAGCTGTTGAGTCACCTTATAAAGAAATTGGGTTTAATTAATTAGCCAATGTGTAAGGACAAGCATGTCGCATTTCCTTTAAATTCATGCAAGCACACACGCTCATCACATGTGGATGCAGGAAATCAGCAGCGTGCTGAATGCAAGCAGATGAACATGAGGCAAAACACTACTGGGTCCCTCTGCGTCAACTCAACGAAGGTGGTCTCAGAATCTGTTGAAACTTCGTAGGAATAATCTCTTTGGCATCTGAAACTGAACATCTGCACAGTTGGTAGCTGAAATTCCAACATTTTCATAATTTTTTACCCAATAGAAATTTTCAATAAACCTCTTTCGAGTTGGAAATTGAACAAGATGCCACTTTCAGATGTCCATATCTCTTAAAGTACATGTCCTGGAGTCTTCAAATACTCAGGAGGTGTTCTGGTGAATGTAGGGAATACTGGCAATCAAGACTCAGTATTTTGCTTAAGGCCTCCCAAATTCAGGATTTGTTCAAAAATCTCCAATAATGTGGATTTTCAAAAAAATAGGGACAATTTATCTTTAATGCATAGGCCGTATTTAATCAGTCTTATTGTGAGAGTAAAGTATATGTAAGACTTGGAGGGAAGAAAGAGATGTATGGAACTGTGGTAATGTTGAGGCATAAATAAAGGAGAGTTTAAAAAAAAAAAAAGATAAATCTGCAGAGTTGGAATAAAGGAAGTTCATTCTCACCTGTTGACCTGAAGCACCTGGGATGCCTGGAGGTCCTCGGATTCCGGACTCACCAGGTGCACCCTGTAACAGGAGGGTGAAAGGGCAGAGAGGGTGTATTAATAGACATGTAAATCTCCACCTACAGCAGCATCCAGGCTTTTTTGAATTCTTTACCTACATTCACACCATTGGGGCCTCGTCTTCCATCTGCTCCCTACACACCAGAGAACATTACAGTGAATATTCATTGACAAAGACAACAGTAACAGTCAGCTCTCCTTGGGTGATTCACATCAAGGTCTGGAAATGTGTGACTAGAATTAACACACAAGCATTAGTTAGCATAATGATCAAACCAATTTTGAAGCAGTTAACATCTGTGCACTGCACTTAACTGTGTTGTAATAAAAAAATGCTGTTTTACATGAATTTCTACCTATAAATAATATATCTATAGTTATTTCTGAAGTGATTTAATGTGTTTATTATTAATTCCTACAGCTGCTATAAAATATAAAGCTCCACAATAAAAATCATTTAGCCAGGTGGTGGAAGAATCATAAACATACACTAAAAAATACAAAAAAATATAAAAAATAATTTTAAAAAAAAACAAAAACAAAAAAAACAAAAAACACAATCATCATGAGAAAAAAATGTGTTCTGAAATGCAGTGAAGCTTAAGTGTAACATATAATAACATTATTCAGGTAATGTGGTTTAAAACTTTACTTTTGTCAGAGGTTGACTGTGATGAATCAGCAGAACAGATGAAGGTTCAACATACAGCATTATAGGAGATTTAAGGAGTTTTACATGTTCAGATTCTTTGTGTGATTGCCCCAAATTCCTTCTGCAGCAGAACAACAACAAAGCCCACCGTCCTACCCTTTAAATCCGATCAATGGACAGCATCATCTGTGATTTCCATATTATTATCCATTTTTATGGAGATGACTCTCAGATTAATATTTCCAGTCTGCCAAAAGACCATGATCACCTCCCAAAGGCTTCAACACCGTTCATTATGTAAGGTCTTGCTGGACTTTTACACTTCGAGACAAAACAACTCCTGTAAATCATGTACCCATCAAAATCTCTTACATATGCACCAGATATTTGTTAATGTAAGAAACAAAGATCAGTTGATTAATAGGAAGAATTTCTTGTTGAGTTTTGTTGTGATATTCTAATGAATATTTTGGGAGCTTTCCCTCTTTATCATGCTACGTAGTTTTAACTGCTAACATCATATAGTTAGCATGATTTATTTGTTTACCTTTTCTAGGAAAAATATTATTAAGGATTTATTGCATTTCTTATTTATGCACTATTTCAGACTCAAAGACTACTGTCTTTTTGTGGCATGCAGCTTACTAGGTATGCATATTTTTTGCCTGTATTTTAATTTGGTAAAGTGTTATTCCACAGGCCATGTGGCCATTTTTTCATGTTATGGCAACACAGTCAATCTGAGGAAGAAGGCCGACAGAACAAACTGACGGAACAAGAACTGAACACTCTATGTCATAGACATTAATCTGCTGCAGTTTTGCTGTTGCAACAATGACAAATCCCAGAATACTGATGCTCAAAGTTGGTTCCAGAGAAAATTAACAAAAATCAGATTCAGTCTTTAGATTGTGATGCCTGGAGTGGACATAAAACTGATTTGGATGCAGTTTCAAAATGTGATGTGTCTATCTGCAGAACTTATGAAGTTATGATGGAAAAAGTAAAAATCTATCTCTGTGCTGTGAGAAAATTGTAGTAATAAATTGGGGTAATTTCTTCCCTTGCATCTGTTTTTGTTGTGGGCCTTTTATGGTAGATGTTGATTTGTCGCATATGTGTGGTCTAAAATTTTATTGCAGAAGTGTGGTTTTAAAAAAAAACATCAAATCAAACAAACGCAGTTTTCCTCCATCTGCACTGCAGAGTCGGCTTCAATCAGATGCAGAATTTCTTACTCACAGACATCAGACACTAAATTTGTCCGGTGCAGATACCAGAACTCTTTATAGAACAAAACTTTCCAGACATATTACGATTCTTCACTACAATTTCATTCAGGTCAGATTACAAGATGCTTCTTATCAGCAACAAAGCTCTTTAAAAACGAGCACCATCCTATCCGACATCATGACTTCTCTTGATAATATTTTTCTTGTATTTTGCTTTTTTTACTTCTGGTCTCAGAGAACACTTAATCTGAGAAATACAAAACTATAAAGCATCTTTACTTTACATTTAGTCCTTTAAAACCTCTGCACAGAACCATACTTGTACATACATAACACAATGCAAATATGTAATCACAAGTGCAGACATGTTACCGGGTTTCCAACGACTCCGCCCTCGCCTGGCCGCCCGTTCTGACCAGGTTCACCCTGTGGATCGAACACATCGAGATGCAGGATGAGTTCACTTTAACAGTCCTGAGAATACTGTGGCTGCTGGTTCTGGAGGTAGTTTTTTTCTCCACAGTAACTAAAGGTTCTGAAGAAGTTGTACAGGATTGTGTTATAAAGAACAGATGATATGGAGCTGGTTGTAAACGCTACAGGAGCTTCAATAATCCTTTGCAATAAGGAAGAGTCTACCTAAAGCTGTGAAACCATAGCTGCTGAATTATCCAGATCCTGGATTGTAACTTCACTCCACCAAAGCAATCCATGACTTATAGATGAAAAATGGTACAGGGGATGATTAATGCCTGCTTTTTACACCCTATAAAGTAATTAATGTCGGGGACTTGTTGCCATGACTAAATTAAATGTATGGATGCAAAATTAAAAAAATATAAAATTTACTGATTTAGTTAAACCATTGAAAATTGCAAACATTAGTTTGATTTGTTGAGTTGACCTAATAATGTTGCATCAACTTAATTTTGCAAATTTCTGTGTTCGTTGGTCTAAAACAAAACTCAAGTTCAGGTAACTTAAGTCTTCCTTCCACTCAAATTCTTGGACAATATCAGATGGTTAAGAGTGTGTCTTAGAGGAGTTGTAGGCTTCTGATAGACTTCAGTTCAACTTCAGACAACCAGAGGAGTCGCCCCCTGCTTGGTGTTAGAAAGCGTGCAGGTTTAAGACATTTTTCAGACCATCTTTAATTTAAAGCCAATGGTCGTGACACAGTGCACCTGGCCGTCTCATCTCAGCTCAAGCTCTGTTGCTCCTTCTGCTGCTTCATAGCTTTGAATCCTGTGATGTTTCTTACCGGTTTCCCGGGGTTGCCAGGGTCTCCTTTCGGTCCTGGGCGGTTGTTGTCGGTACCTGGAGTGCCCTGTCGGGTAAAACAGAGTCTTAACAGAATCACCTTAAAAAGATCAGTCATTTTAAAACTCCACACACTGTTTGGTTTCTGACGGTGGAGCCTCCAGCTGTGACAAGCTGCTTTTAAACAGAGGACAGAGCAGATGATAAATTGGATTTTTATTTGTATCAAAGCCATTTAATGACATTGATAAAATGATACAGATGATGGAAATACACTCAGATTGTGCTCTGCTAAAAACAACACCAGAGGATGGTTGTGTTTTTACTTCCATCACTTTGTTTAGCCCTCAGCTAACTTTCTCAGGACTTTGCTCTCAGCTTAAGGGTGGGTTGATGGAATATGCCAGCTATGGGGATTTCAGCCTTGGATATAAACCCTTTACAGAGTTCAAACTCTAGTTTTCCTTTCTTCCTCAACATGCAAATATGCAGACTTGGCCTGCTGAAGTTACACTGGGTTGTGGAGGCTCTTAAATTCTCTGATAAAAAACTTAGTTCAGTCTGAATGGTGTTTAATACAGCAGTAAGCCAGACATTTTCACATCTGTCACTTTAAATTATAGTTTGCCTCTGGTATGCTCAGAGCTGATAAGCTGCAGCATCAGCCTTGTTCTGACTATGTTATGTATTTATTTGTTATACAAATTTACAGTTAATGTTACTGGTAAAAATGCACAATGCACAAAATTCTTCAGGTTTGGTGTGAAATTCCACCATCAGCATGCATGCAGAGAGCAAACGTGCACAGTGTTCTGTACAGGCTGCAGAATTCAGTGGAAATACAGACACATGAGGCTGGATTTGCTCTCTAAATGTTTGTGACATATTTGGGCTGAATTTTGAGAATTTGATACGTATTCACAATTTTAGGGGTCTAATAGCTCCAATAACTTCTACAGTCATGAAATTTGATGAGGACACGGACAGAAGAGTTTTCAGCAGATCCAAATGATTGAATGGCTCCAGCAAAGGACACATTTTTAATTGCTGGTTCTGCAAAATAAAACGGAAGGGCAAAATCTTTAAACAAGGGTGGTACTGTTGCCCCAGACAGTTCCTGTAAGTGTAAATATATGGCTGTATCCATATTTCCGACTGAAATGACAGTCCTTGGCTGACATTTCTCAAACTTTTAAAGAAATTAACATGACTAGAAGGAAATGGAGAAGACCCAATACTTAGATTACATTACGTGCAATGAATCTTGGGATCAGTTGAGAATAGAAAGACACATTTCTATTATGGAGCCCTGAATTGAAACACAGCTATATTGTGAGTGGGAAGCCAGTGAGGGATCATTCTCTTCCCACAGTGCCCCTGCATTATCTTAACTTCCGTTTTTATCTCTGGTGAGACAAAAAGACAGAAAGTTGAAGGTGGGAAACGATGAAACTCACCGGATCTCCTCTCAGGCCTCGCTGTCCTTTGAAGCCCCCCTCTCCTTCGATACCTGGGATACCCTGGAGATGACAGTACAGCGGTCAGAGGGCAACACCTCTGAGCTTACAGCAACATATACAACAATGTAAATTACCATAAATCTTAGATGCACAAATCGCTACAATATTTTTATAAATATATATTTCACATATTTAATGGCTCTGTGTGTATGGCTTAGTGGCATTCGAATCATAAAAGACTCATTATAAGCTCAAGAAACTACAAATATTCTTATTTTCAGGTGACAATACACAAATGAAAACACAATTATGAATATTATATTCCATTTCTGCTAATAGATCCACCTGAATCCTGCACACTGGAGCTTTCATCATGACTAAGTGGTTGTTAATTTTATTAATTCAACTTTAAATAAAATATAATAGTTATCTATCTGAACTAAATGAGCTACACTTAATGACTTTCAAGACAATAATCTGGGAATGTAAAAATGAGCACCAGAATGAAGGGAAATTAAGGTAAATATAGAGGTTTCAATGTATTTTTTTTTACTGGGTTTCCTGGGTTTCCTCTGTCTCCTTTAAGTCCATCCAGTCCCGTCACTCCCTGCAAAAACAAAAACAGAAACTCAGCAAAAAAAAAAAAAAACAATTCCTTGACTGCATCTTCACATTGTCACAGTTTGTAATTATTTTCTGTGAAGTAAATGTCAGAGATTAAATGCATTAAGTTGACATTGTTTCACAACTAAATCTACTCTTTATATTGCATATTCAAGTTATTACATTTACCTGCTACAGTATTTTGATATCAAGCTTTTATATCTTCATGGCATTCAATGCAGAAATGCAAATACAGGTATGGTTTAAAAAAAAAAAAGAGAGAGCTACCCAAAGTCGAAACAAAAATATGAACAGCGCAATATAATATAATATTATATTACTATACACTCAGATCATTACTAGAGAGACAAATGTTAAGTAGCATGAACGAGTTCAATAATGCCTTCAGTGTCCAATAATGTCATCTCTCTAAAACACATCTCAGGCTGTCTGAGTGAGTTCAGAATACTGGCACAAGTAACTGTATGGAAATATAGTCACTGTAAAAAACTGTTTGCCCTGAAGAAGCTCCTCTCATATGATTGTGGCAACTCTCTGCTTGTTAATGCAGTGAATTTAGGTTTATATTTTTTGACTGAATTTGCCTCCAGCATAGAAAGACAGATTCTTTATTATTATGTGAAACTTAAAAAGAAAATAATGACTTAAACCTTTCACACTTAAGGATGGACCTGTCCATACAATCAGTTCCTGCGGGAGGTTGATCTTTATTCTGACGCTGTAATGTTGATGTTAATATAATGTAAAACTGATATCAAATTGTTGCATTTGTTGGATTTGGTTCATCAAATCACCTGCTCTCCGTCGACTCCGTCCAGTCCTTCTTCTCCGTTGTCGCCCTGCAGCGTTGGAGGAGAATCAGCTGTCACATTTCACTCTGCTACTAAACTCTGTCTAAACTCAAAGACTTGCTCGTCCAAACATCCGTCAGTAAAACTTCACGCTGCTTCTTTGCTGACTTTACATTCCAGCAGGCCTCAATCACTCACCCTGTTCCCTGAGACGCCTCGGTAGCCCTGTAAATGCAAACAACAGGATTTAATGGCATCAACATCCAACAGGCTGAGGCGCTCTGTGTATACGATGAACATTGGAGACATTTTTCAGCTGAGTCTCACAGGAAACTCGCTTGTATTTGTATAAATTGCATGTCTGAAATGTTTACAATTAAAAGCAAATGGGGATGCAGCATTTTCATGCCAACAAACAAAAAGATATAGTCCTAACTTTTCATGACTAGAAAACCAGATTTCCACGAAAACATGGTGCATACATACGCTTTCTGCTGTTATTACAGTAGTAAGTGGTAACAGTTGTAGATGAACACATCTGGTGCTGCTCAGTACTTTGCTGAAACAATATTTACTCTTACTTTAGTCTTGGTTTTTTGATATTTCAACTCAGCCATTATCAAAAATTATTTAATCCACTTAATCCAATATTACAGATGCAGAATCAATGACATGATGAGAAATAACTGTGAAGATTTCAAGCTGAGATATTTTTGTTCAAATAACCTCACGTTTCAATTTTCAAACAAACCTGGTAAAAGTGGGTAAACACGCTTTTCTGTTTTTCTAATTATCTCAAAAAATATATTTAATATATCAAACTAAAATTTCAAGGTTATGTTTTTAAATATACATATGTTATGCTAGAAAAAAAATCATACAAATCAGAGATGGTCAAGCAGAAATTGCTCTAAAAATCTGTTTTTTGACATGACTGCAGTGTACCTTCTGTCCCCTTGATCCAGGACAGCCCTGGATGCCCTGAGGTCCATTTATCCCAGGAGGTCCTCGCTCTCCCTGTAGCAAAACCAAACAAAATGCAGTGACATAGCAGAAGAAAGTGGACTGCAGCAGCTCCAGCAGCTCCAGCTGATGACAACTAACACAGTAAATGTTAAACATACATGTGATAATTGCAGGACGAAAAACCCTCAAACAGCATCAAAATCAAACACAAGGCACGCAAATTGTGTTTGGTCCTATAAGATACACCAATAATTGGCCAAATAACCACAACGAGAAAAGAAGGATCCAAAATAACCACAAAGACAACCACAAAAAGACACAACACGAGCATAAAGAGACACAAAAACACACAAAATGACAACAAGGAGACAAAAAACAACCACAAGAAAACACAAAACAACCACAAAGAGACACAAAAACCTACAAACACTCACATAGAGACACAAAATAACACAAAACAACTTCATTGAGACACAAAACAAGCACAAAATCTGTAATTTTGCTCTTTAGGGCTAAAGCTAGCCAGTATTTTCATTGTCATTCTGCAGATTATAATTGATTAGATTAATTGGTTTTTACTGTTTTTTTTTTGTTTGTTTTTTTTAAATCAAAAATGTCACAGGATGGGGAACATGGTGTCTTAAAGCCAAAAGTGGCGTCTTCAAAAAGACTGTTGGTCGACCACCAGAAATCCGTTTGAGTCATTTTTTAAAATAAAAACGTCTAAATGTGAATATTTTCTGGTTTCTTTTCTCCTGCATGGACAGTAAACTGGTGATTTTTGGACAGAACAAGACACGTGTCATCTTGGACTTTGGGAAATGCTGATTCACATTTTCCAGTTTTCTGTCCTTTCAGCAACCAAAAAACGAACTCATGCATCCAGAAAATGGTCTACATTGTAAGTACTCTTCAGCTGCAGCCGCTGTAGGGTTTTAAGTTGTTTTCAGCGCTTCACCTGCATATTTTCCTGCCATCATGTTGCTATAAAATGAAGTGGTGTGGATAAACTGAACACTTACCATGCCTCCCTCCTCTCCTGGGAAGCCCGGCTGACCGTTCCGTCCAGGCTGACCCTGTTTATAAAGCACAGAGAAACATTAACATTAACGTTTACAAGGTCAAACTGAAGTACAGCAGCCGTCTTCAGGTTTGTCTAAAGCTGCACAGCTGAGTCCTTGAGGAAAACACAACTGGTCTGCTTCGGTCTTCTCCTAAACATTCTTGACATCATGTATATAGCTACCTTTATCCCCGGATTGCCAGGAGAACCAGGGGGTCCTTCATGTCCCCAACATTTGCACATGACTTTGCAGCACTCCCGATCTGCTGCCGTGCTCTGCAGGGACACACAACAATGCACATTTGAAGTTTCAATGCCTCATTTAAAAAAGAAACAGAATCAGACTTATTGGATATAAACACAAAAGGAATTTCACTCTTTTAATCTCAAGGTATTTATGAAACATGAGCATTTAAACCAGGGCAACAGGTTACAGAAGGAAAATGAGTTTTTAACTATGTACAGCCACAGATATGTGTAAAAGTGAACCAGAGCTTTAAGTTACAGTGAACCACAACTTAGTGCAAATACAGTTATTCGCAATAAATACAAAGTTACTGAAGCCTTTAGCACATGAGGTGGGTGATAGTGTAGGGGAGCAGAGAGCAGCGTTTCTTAGATGAAATATAAACAACCATGTGACATACAGTATGTACTGTATATACAGTTCTCCTCTCTGTACATCCACCGGTTCCCACCTCTGTAAACAAAACGTTTTTTTCCTTCATCAGAGAATAAACCAGAGAAGAATTTCTAAACCTTAATACAGCTGCACAAAAAACAAGGAACTGGTCGCATCACACATAAACTTGATCCTGTAAAAGCTCTTTCTCAGCATCATTTTGCTGCATTTCTCCCTTTAGTCCTTGCAGCAGTTGTTAACTATTTAATGCACTTGCAGGATTAAATATAAGGAAGTCACCAGGATGTTTAATTTCACATTAAGATACAACTAGTGTAAAGTATGTGGTACTATTATCAACCTCAACTAGCCAAATGTAGGCCAGCTGCTTTTATTGTTTGTTTTGTCTTTTTGCTGTTTAGAATTATCCTGTATTTTTGCTTTTTCTTGATTAATATGAGATAATAGGTCAATCATAAGCTAAACTCTTTGATAGGACGATTAAACACCACTTGACATTTTAAATCAGCTATAAGTTATCACGTAATTATTAGTATTTTTAATTTTATACTGCGAAACTAATAATAATAAAAATGCATCAGAATCATTATTGGTTCCAATCACTGACATGTCTTAGACTGTGATAAATAAAAATATACAGTTTAAATAGTGTTTTTCTCTTTTCATAAAACAACAACAATGACATCATGTAAACAAACCGGCATTTAAAGACTTAAAAGTTTAAAAAAAAAAATAATAATCTAACTCAAAAAGTGGAAAAAATCCTAAATATTTTCATGACAGTTGTTTTGTTAGGGTCTCAGGTGTTTGATTTTGTTTTTCTATTTGACACTGCACAAAAAATATTAATGCTTCAGAATCAATGTTGTTACTGATCATTGAAATGCCCAGACTGATATTCAAAGAAGGAATTTTCAACCTACCACTTGTGTGGACAATAAGTCTTTATTGTGTTTTTTTTTTGTTTTTCATTTTTAAAAAAACGTGACATCACATAAACAAACTGGTGTTTAAAGAGCTAAAATACAAAAAATGAATAAATGTTTGGGCCAAAGTTTTTAAAAAACTCAAAGTGGAAAATGACACTTATATGGAAGTTTTTCAAAGAGAACATTTTTGTTTTAAAGGACCCCTGAGTAACTTTTTTCAAAATTGATGTCAAATGTTTAAATTTTACATTTTCTTGTTTGTTTGGATTTTTTTCCTTCTTTCTTTGATGTTCGGTTTTGTTCATCCCCCTTTATTTTTAGCTGTGTCAGTTTGGAAAAGTACATTTGTGAAGTAACGACAACACAAGGTATTAAATAATCATGTATGTACAAAGAATAAATGAGTGAAGACAAATCTATAAAAACGTGTGTGTATATAAAAACTGAATGAATGAAACTTTATCTATATATACAGTCCTGACTCAATAATCCGACACGAAATGTAAAACCTTCTTTTATGTCGGATAGCAAGGCTGTCGGATTGTCAAGACGGAGGTCAAGACAGAAGGAGGGCTTGATGCTTGAAGGGTCATTTGTTGTTAATATTCATTGTTTATTGCTGACATCAGAGGTGAATACGTTCAGACAGCATGCTAAAGTGACCCAATCTGATTTTTTTTCCCTCCTATGCGACCTGTATCTGATCTTTTCATGACAGTCTGAACGACATAGATCCAATTAATGATAATATGGTCGGGGGGGGGACGGACGACGGACGGACGGATGGACCACTTCCACCCCGGGGAAGCACTCTGACGGGATGGAAGTGGGTGGAGCGCACAGGCAGTACTTGGCTGCTGATGCCAGTTTAGTTAGCGGCCACACTTCTGTTTCCAACATCGGTGGCGGTGGCAGGGGAGTGGCAGATGCGCTCCGTCGTTACCTGCTCAGTGTTTCTTTTGCAAACACTGAGCACGCTCGCTGTGTGTGACGTCGTCGTGTCCTCTTCTGTGCATGCGGGACACTTTTGGGTCGAATGAAGTTCACACAGCAGATCACATACAAGTCGCATTTAACTGGAAATGTGAACGAATTTGCAAAAAATTGGATTGGACGTAGCCAATCTGTCGGATTGTTCAGTCAGATAATACGCCGTTATCCTTATGTGTGACATAAAATGTCATGTCGGAGTTGGAATCCAAGGCTGTCTTTATGTTAAGGGTATTTTTAATGGGTTCCGTTTGTTTTTCCTAAAAACCTGTCGGAAGCAAGGTTTTCGGATTGTTAAGGGTCAGACTATCAAGTCACGTCTGTATATTGAAACACGCAGACTTCAGTGTCATTTTTATATGTACACCATGCCTTCAGGTTCCATCAGGACCACAACTTCTTTTTGACTCATAACTCGCAGTAACATGCATGACTTACGATCTGCTGGAGGACGGTTTGGCCGATACTTGGCATGTTGATCCTGAGAGGAAGCTTGTGGCCAAATCCTCGGCCGAACTCAACCATCTGCAGCTTAGTGGGGTCGGCACCATCCAGGGCCACGGTGAGCAGAGCGCTGACCCCTGAACAGTCACAACCACAGATTCACTGCCTCGTTTACTCCAAAAAAATGAAACACAGGAGTTTAAATACACAATCTGGGTTAGCTTAAGTTGGACAGCAGCTCAGTGCTTCAATGTGATTTATCTTAGAAGGGTTAGGATGGATATGATGTGTGGAAGGGGCGCCATATATGTAATACATACAAAAAACAATATTCAGAGGAGCAAGTTGTTGGAACATACAAAACTTTGAAAAAAAAAGAAAATAAAAACACTAAAACTAAGACAAAACAGTACAAACAAGACAAAAAAACAACAAATTGGACAAAACAACAAAAACAAAACACAAAAAGGCACAAGCGAGACACAAAGTGACAAAAACAAGACAGAAAACAATAAAAACAAGACACAAAACAACAAAGACAGAACACAAAAGGCACAAATGAGACACATAAAAACACGACAAAACAATAGAATCATGACACCAATGAGACATAAAAGGACACAAATGAGACACAAAATGACAACAAAGACACACACAAAGAAACTCCCACACACGAGGATGAACATAGAACTAAGTGCCAGTTTTACCAGACTTTCGCAGCTCTTCGGATTCCTGCTCCAGTGTCATCACGTCTTCGTTGAGTCCATCTGAGAAGATCAGCAGCACCTGAAGGTTGACGTTAGTCACTGTTTTAATGTGGCAACAAACTGCAAAACTAACCACATTCACATCAGCCTCTTTTAACTAATTATACAGATTTTCCCTGTTTTGTTAATTTACAAATAACATTAAGTTAAATCACAGAAAAAAGTATGAATTCACATGCTGACTGTAAAAAACAAAGCCAAAAATCAACAACACCTACACGACGTCTACGTCAAAAATCTGTGTTTTTATAAACGGTTATTAGTTCTTTTGCAGTGTTTGACTTTAAAAATGAAACTACTTTTACTTTATTTAAAACACATCGTTTCACAGATATCTGCTCTTATTTTCACAGTTTTTACAAACTGTTTTAAAAAAAATGACATTTTTGGTTTTAACTGTAAATTTTTGAACAATTTTGTGTTATTTTACAGATTTTAAAAATACAGATAATAGCTGGTAAATTCACACAAAAACTTTGCCCATCACAAAACACAAAGGAAACAGTATATGACAAATGAATACTAGATTAAAAAAATTATAAAAAATGACTTCGATTGGGTCAAGATAAGATAAAAGTCCTTTAGAAGTTATGACGCCGCTCCTTGCACAGAAGAGAGTCATTGTATGTACATTAAAAGTAAATAAAAGCACAACAAGGGAAGCAGCATTAGTTTACCTTGACTTTAGAGCTGCTTTTGGCTATGAACCGGTCCTTGAAGAACTTTAGCATGTCAGAGTTAAAGTAGGTGGGCTGCGACACTGTGTAGGTCAACACTTTCCTCAGCAACTCCTCTGTGATTGGTTCAAAGTCAGTGTCGAGCACGATGCGTCCGTCTGCGTTCACTACATGGAAGGCAATGTTGATCTGGAAGGGTTCGGGGACGGGACAGCACAGGTCATCGACCGAGGAGACGTAACGGATGATCTCTTCCAGCTGCCGGATGTTGCGACCGACCAGCAGCTCACCAGGGCGCCGATTTGTTACGTCAAATCCAACTGCAATATCGATGTTGCAGACTGCAGGAAAAATAGAAATTTGTGTTCACGCTGACACACAGAAAGTCTGCAAAAAGTAATTCAGGGTTTCTTGTTCCCATCACTTCATTAAATGCATAATAGTGGATAAAATCAATGAAGTTTCATTTGACAAATCTGTTTGTTTAAAGATATCAATAAAGTGTCTTAAAATACAACTGCATTTCAAAAACAATAGAAGTGAATTACCAAGAAGTTTATCATTGAAGTCAGTAATTTCTAAAAAGCTATCTATCTATCTATCTATCTATCTATCTATCTATCTATCTATCTATCTATCTATCTATATATAAAAACATGGAAAAGCAAAAAATTACTGAAGAATATCTCACTTGAGCAACTTCATTTTTAAAAACCTTTGTCAACTTGAAGTGTATGTCCCAAATTATATTGCTGTTAGATAAAACATTAAAATTATATTTAAATAATGTGGAAAGACTAGTTAGAACATGTTGATGGTTAGTAGTTGTATACCTAACACAAAAATAACGTTTAAATAAAACACAACTTCAAACTGAAAACAAAAACAAAACAACAGTTACCTACTAGCTATGTTATTAAATTAATTATTTTCTTATGAGATGCTAACTTTAAACAGTCGTTAGCTTAAAAACTTGTGTTCCGAACTCGAGGAACTAACTTGAAAATTCCATTTAAATAATGTGGAAAAACTAGTCGGAACAACTTAATTTTATTAAACAGTTGCCAACTTAAAAACTGCAGCTTACAACTATAGTAATTAACCTAAAAAATCCCTCTATATAATGTGTATTTCTCGTGAGGTATCAAATGAAAAACATGTGCTCATGATTATGGTTATTAAATACGTAAAACCAAAAAAACGTACTTTTAAATTTGAAATACAGAAAAACACCTTGAAAACTTTTATGCTGGTGTTTATGCTACCAATCATGAGGTAATTAAAAATAGTGTTACCTGAAAAGGGAAAGCTAATTCTACCAACTCAGTGTAGTGTGTTGGTTTGTTCCTTTTAAAAGTTGCAATAACTCCAGCAGATTAATGCAAACTGTTGTGTTCATTTTCGCCATTGAGCATAGAGTTTATTTTACAGAGTGCAGCATTCCACTTACCAGCCGGCTCTGTTTTTGGTTCTTTGCAGATAGCTTCAGAAAGCGTGGTCTTGATGCTTAACAAACTGTCGAAGTTCTGCACAGTAAACACTTTCTGTGGATCTCTGGTGATCTGCAGGAGCTGCAGGTCATAGACGTCTCCAACGGCGATGGCGAGTATTTCGATCCCCATGTTCCTGAGTTCATCGGCTGCATCCTCCACGTCGTCGTGAGAATCCCCGTCTGTGACCACCACCAGAGTCTTGGGGACATCTTTGCGGGCGCCCTGCGATTCCTGAAAGTACTTCTTCATATGTGCTAAGGCTTTTCCGAGGTAGGTGTCCACGCCGGTGTGCACTAGGCTGAGGATTCTTGCAATCATTTCCTCCTTCTTGTAGTACGTGCTGAGGTAAAACTCGTCATAAGGATCGTCACTGAACTGTGCGAGTCCGACTCTAGCGTACTCTTGGCCGATGTGAAAGTTGTTCACGACTTCAGCCGTGAAGTTTAGCACGAGTTGGTGTTGGTCTGGGTTGATGCTGCTGGAGCGGTCGATCAAGAACACCAAGTCTGTCTGGTTACAGGCTGCCAAAAGAAAGACATTAAGTCCACATTACTAGAAAACAACTGGGCTGACAAACTATGATGCTGTTAACTGTACTTTATCAACTATTTACTGTTATTTTACAGATTTTCCCATTTTATGAAATTACAGATAATACCAAAGAATGGTTTAATTTAAATTATTTCATTTAAAGAATTTATGAGAAAATGATGTTGACGTAGAAGGAATCATGTCTAGAAGATGAGCCTGGTATCACATGCAAGTAAAAATGAGACCTTTCATTGCCTATAACTTGTTCTGACCAGCTGTGCATCACACATGCTGATACGAGCCTTGAAAGTTTAACCAACATGCACTTTTCAAAGCTTTCTCTGCTGAATTATCAAACAGAACACATCCAGGCTACCAATGCTTGTTTGTATGACTCTATGACATAGATAATTCATTGCTGCAGTTTTGTTGTTCAAACTCTGACATCCCATAACACTAATGCTCAAAGTTGGTCAAAGTAAAAAAAAAAAAGCAAAAATAGCAAACACCAGATTTAGTCTTTAGATTGTGACACCTGGAGTGCATATAAAATTGATTTGGTAGCAGTTTTTAACAGAGCTCAAGTGTGTTTTTCAGCCCAAGAAAATGTGATGTGTAAATCTCCTGTACTTGTGAAGAGTCTCAAAAATTGTCCAAAACTCGCCTAAATGACCCAAAAAGTGTCTGAAATGAAAAAATAAAAAATAAATAAATAAAATCCCTGACATGCCTCAAAATGTGCCTGATATGATTCCAAACTTGTCGAAAATATCTTGAAACTTTTCCAAAATAACAGAAAACTTTTCCCAAACAATTTAAAACTTGTACAAAATGTGTAATTAAATGTACTGAAGTAACTGAAGATAAAGAATCAGCGGATTCTGTGGGGGTCAGGTAGAGGGCTGTGATTGATTTTTAAGCAGTCTGAGTTTCTGATCTATCCACCTGAAACTTTTACCGTTCAGCAAACTGTGATTTTATGGGATTCACAGACTCAGGAAAAGTCCATCGTAACTGTCAAGCTTTATGTGTAAAAAATGTGTGTGTAACATGTTCATTTGTGGTGAAAGCTTAGTCCAGAAGATGCACTTTGAACTATTCAAACTGTCGGCACCATAGATGCACTACAAACACTTCTTACGTGGCTTAGTGGTGTTGCAGAGCTCCTCAGAAATGTTCTTGTACAGAGTGTCTAGTTGATTAAATTCATTCACAAAGAACACTTTGGATGTGTCGCCTCCAGCCATGATCTCCAGCTGTTCCTTGTTGGCCTCCTTCACTCCGATGCTGAAGATGGTGATGCCGTTGGCTCGCAGTTCATCGGACGCCGGCTTCAGTTTGTCTCGATCGGTGGCGTCCCCGTCTGTGATCACCATGAGAATCTGAGGCACCTTGTTTCCCCTCCGTCCGCCATTGTTAGCATTAAAGTATGGTAGTGAATACTCCAAGGCTTCGCCTGTGTTGGTGTTAAAACCTGGTGCCGACAGTTTTTCAATTGCTTGAATAACTTCTCTTTTGGAGTAGTATTGCTTAAGAGTAAACTTGGATTCGGCTGTGCTGGAGTACACAATGACCCCGAAGCGTGTCTTTGTCTCGCCAACGGTGGTGTAATTCACTAAAGAGTTCATGAAGATTTGCATGCTTCTGAACTCATCGTTGTCTATGCTTCCGGAGCCGTCGACCAGAAAAATAATGTCAGCTGTGTCTGATCTCTTGCACTCTAGATGAAGAAAAAAAGAATGAAGAGCTGATTAGTTCTTATGTTGACAAAAACATTTGTGATCACTCAAATATTTTAGAAAGTACAAATAATTTCTGTCATGTTTTTCTTCTTTTTGGCGATGTATACAAAAGTGATGTAAAAAGCTGCGGGTTGTTTTTTGACAGTGTAAAATATGTTTTTTCTGCATGTATTTAGGATCTTGACAGCATAAACAGATAAAGAGTGCCAGCGTAAGCAGCAACTTTTACATTTCTGCAGTTTTTTTCAGCTTTTGACAGAATAAAGTGTGTATTTTCTATGCTTTTTAGGCTTCTGACAGGATAAAAAGCGTTTCTTATTCTTCACTTTTTCCTATTCGATAGATAACACCGAAGTTTGTTTTTAGCATTTGGTGAAAAAAAATGCAACGTTTTAATTGAAGCAAAGTAAAAAGTGCAGTTTTTCAGACAGTGTACAACACTTTTTTTCTGCATTTTCTTGGCTTTTGAAGACATACAAAGCAAAATTTTTCAGCATCTTTTTGTTTGTTCACAGCAGCGCTTTAAAAAGAAATATTGAAGACACAGATATAGCACTAAAAAGCTGCATTTTTTTCTGTTTTGTTGATTTTATTTGTTTTTATGTTTGGCTTTTGACTGCATAAAAAGGAGTGTTTTAACTGCACTGCCTCCAACAATGGATTTTTATAGCCTTTTGATGGTTTAAAAGTTCCATATTATTTTTACATTCTTTCTGCTTTTGTTAGCTTAAAAACATTTTTTCTCTTTTTGATGGTGTAAACAGCAGTTTCACTTGCATTTTAACGGGTGGGGTGCTGCTTTAAACAACATATTTTTTGGCCTTATGTTGGTCTACAAAGCACATTTTCAGCTTCTGACAACGCTAAAACCAGCACGATGTAAAGAAGAGCCTATCTACTGAAGCATCATAAAAACACATAATAAAATACATAAAAATAGCAGCATTTTTTTGTTTCTCACAGTGTAAACAGCTGTGTTTCCTCTGCATTTTTGGGTTCCTTACAATGTAAAAAAAATTGCCCGTCTACATTTTTAAAGAGTAAAAAGCACATTTTTAAAACATCTTTTCTGACTGCATAATAAATAGTGCATTGTTCTTCTTTTTGTTGTTGTAATTGGGAAGCCATAAAAAACACTGCCATTTCCTTTTACCTGTTGTTAGATTTCCACAGTTGGTCATAATAGACACACATAAACAAATACCGCCTTAACGCTTCTACAAACTGATTGTCTGGTTAATCTGAAGCACCTTTTCAGACTTGTCTCACCTCTCCGTGGATCACAGAACTTCAAAGCCAGCTGGCTCTCCAGTAACGTCAAAGCATCAAAGTTTCTCCGAATGAAGGTCTGGTTCCATGAACCGCTGATCTCCCGCAGCTGGGTGCTGTTGGTTTGCCCCACTCCGATGGCGTAGATCTCCACACCTTTTTTCCTCAGGGCGGCGGCAGGGCCCGAGACCTCGTCTTTGGCCTCACCGTCTGTTATAACCACCAGCCTCTGCTTTAGGGTAGGACGCCCTCCGAAGGCTGCATCAAAATACCTTGACACCTCTTTGATGGCCCGGCCCGTGCGTGTGCCTTCGTTCATCTGCTCCATCTTATCAATGTTCTTCACGATCTCGTCTTTGCTGTAGGAACCTGTGAGGGAGAACTCCAGATGAAAAGCAGTGCTGAACTGCATGAGCCCGACGTGCACTTCATTCGGCCCGACCATGGACTTGCTGACGACAGACTTGATGAAATCTTTCATTTTCTGGAAGTCCTCGTCAGAGATGCTCTCGGAGCTGTCAGTTAGGAAAAATACGTCGCTTGGTATGTCCTTACAAACTGTGGGCACAGAACATAGAGGTGTTAGCATGGGCTTCCACATACAGTGAAGACACCCCTGTGCAATATCACACGAATGTCAAATGATTCAAAACTGTCACCCCTCAGTATTCAGATTACTTCTAAGTTCAACAGGAGAGTATTTCCTCTGATATCAAATTAAAAAGTTTAGATATATCATTAAAAATAGAGGTCCCAAAGTAGGAACTCACTACAACAAAAGTCTGCATGCCTTTTATTGTTAAAATTTAAATCTTTAATTTTTCCAATACTTCAAATGTTCACTTCTAAGTTTTTTGGTGACAAACTCAATCCTGTTTGGGATGTGTTGCTCTACCTGTAAAATACTCCAAAGGCGTTCTATTTGAATCCAGTCAGACCCCATATCCTCATATTTGGACAACTTAGAGTCAGTTTGGAAATGTTTTCAAGTCATTTAATAATATTTTAATTTTAGACTCATTTGGGAAAAAAATTGAGTTATTCAAACAAACTGAATCATTTGGAGAGTTTTTAAAAAGCTTTCAGGATACATTTTGAGTCATTCTGAAGACATTTCAGGCTATTTTGGACAAACTTCCAGTCATTTTGGACAGTTTTATGTCATTCTGGACAGGTTTTGAGTCATATTGGACAAGATTCCAGTAATTCTGCAACAAATTTTGGAAGAATTTTGCATTATGTTAGACACATTTTTAATTATGTCAATACTTTTCAGAAAATTTCAGACATTTAGGACCATTTGTAGTGTGTTTGGGCCAAATTTCAACTTTCTTTGACAAACTGAGCAATTTTGGACAGTTTTGTTTACAATAAATTTTGTTGAATTTTGGATAAGGTTCAGGATATTCTGGGCAATCAGTTATTTTAGACAAGTTTCAGATTATTTTGGACAAATTTCCAGTCATATTGGACAAGTTTTAAGTCATTTTGGGCAAATTTCAAGTTGTTTAGGACACATTTTCTGAGTCATTTTGGATATGTTTTGAATAGGGCTGGGACTTCAATGCATTAATTGAATCTGTTGAATTTGACGTGTAAAAAAAAAAACCTAATGCATCTGATTGCACCTTTCTCAGTTCCCTAATTTCTGGCACCGGCAACACTGATGCACACACTCCAGCCGGTAGGTGGCGGTAATGCACCTAAAGTTCCTTTGCCAGCTGCAAAGTAGATAGACAAGATGCATTGAGTGACGTCAGCGCACGAGAAAGTTTGGTGAACAGTGATGGAAGACGAGACCGCATTGCTTGGTTTGTTGGGCGGGAAAAAACATAAAATTCTTATCAAGGCCTAATGCTACGTGTCCACAGGGGAGATTTAGCCAAAATTTGCATAAAGCTTGAAGTCAAGCCTACTCTATGCAGATAAGCTGCAGGCAACGCTACGCCTCGTCGCTTGAAACTCCTTGCGATGCTCCAGAACACGACGTGGGGCGTTTCACTACACAATGAATGAGAAGACAGAAATAGACAGATCCTGTGGACATGTAGCATGAGGCAGCTTGGACAGGAGCACAAGGTTGTGTGCAAATTGTGCAACAAAGAGATGTAAGACAAATAGTCTTAAAATGTGGACTACAATAGCTATAAATGCACTTTGAGTTTGCACTAATCTGTGAATGCAATAGACAGTTGAAAAATGCATGGATAAATATAGATGAAAAATAAACATTTGTGTTGTTTACATCCACGTATATGAATCGCCAACCAAAATTTATTTGAAATGAAAAACTTTGCTTATTATGTCAAATATTGCTGTTTGATAAAAATACGATTAATTATTACAAAGCCTTTACTTAATTCGATTATATTTTAAATCGTGTCTCACCACTAGTTTTGAGTCACTGTGTACATATTTTAAGTCATTTTGGACATTTGGGTTTTCACTTTATTCTTGTGTAGAAACTCTTTGGTGATCAAGCTTTGGCAGACTGGGATTCATCTTGTTAGCCAGTGTCTTGGTTTACCAGACATTCATGATGCATCTATAAATGTCATCTCCCCAACTCCTTTTGCGCTAATGCTGCCTCATATCGTCACACTCCCACCTCTGTGCTTCACTGTCAGGTCTACGTGCTTACTGTCGTAGTCCTGCTCAGGTTCCCACCAAACATGTTGGACTCCATCTGAACCCAACAAATTTATCTCATCTGACCAAAGAATGTGCTCCTAACATGCTTCAGGCTTCTTTTCATGTTTTTTAGCGAAGTCTCAGAGGTTGATAGTATAAAGTGTCCTTCACACTGTCTGAGCTTCACAGAAACCCCTCAGTCAAGTCTGAAGCAGCTGTTGTCTGTTTTTTGCAACCAGATTGTGAAAGTAGTTTAAAGTCTGGAGTCATTGTCGGAGGTCGACCACTGCAGCTCTGATTAGGGCTACTATGGCTCCTTCTTTATCTCCTGATTACTGCTGCAACTGTGATTCACAGATTTTTAGTTGCTCAACCATCTTCCTAGATCCTTTTCCTTCTCTTGGAAGTCTCACAGTCAGATTTTGCAGCTCCTCTGTTCAATTCTTTTCAATGTGGTGTCATGTGTAGGCATGCAGTTGGACACAGACCATAGGTCCAAAACTGGGAAACTTCTGCTGGTCACGGCTCCGTTTAGAACCATGTTCATGCAGTTAGGCTGATTGGAAATCACTGGAGGACTCAGTTTAGTTTCAGGAATCAGCTCTTTCCACAGCGTGTCTTTGTTACCGGAGGAAATATTTTGTTGTTCAACTTAGAAAGAAAAAATGCAGTTTTTGAGAGGTGACACAGTTTAGAATCAGGTGACATTTATGTGATATTACACAGGGGTGTACTTACTTCTGCTGCATGCTGTATAAGCCAGATATGACACTAAAAGTGCAGCCTCTTCCCTCACCGTCTGGAGAACAGATGTCTGTGATGATGCCATTGTTGATGGACTTCAGCGCATCAAAATTATTGACATGGAAAGTCCTCTTGGGATCACCTGCAATCTCATTCAGCTGAGTTTGGTTTGAATTCTTCACCCCAATGGCATAGATGGTGATGTCTTGTGCCCTTAGTTTTTCTGCAGGAGCTCTGACTTCATCTGCAGATTCTCCATCGGTGATGACGATCAGGTATTTGGGGACTTTGGAAACACGTGATTTGCTTGCTTCCTCAAAATACTTGAACATGAACGACAGTGCTTCTCCTGTGTACGTGTTACCTCCTGCATGTTTCATTGCCCTCACAGCTGCCTTCATCTTCTCAGCATCCGAGTACCTTGTCAGGTCAAATTCTAGAGAAGGATGAGTTGAGTATTTCGCAATCCCCATGCGAACATTCTGTGGCCCGATATGAAAGATTTGAAGAAACTCAATGATGAACTTCTGCATTTCCTTAAAGTCTAATGGATGAATGCTAGAGGACTCATCTAAGAGGAAGTAAATGTCTGCTTCGTCCTTTTGTTCACAAGCTGGAAAGAAACACAAAGTTAGTTCTTTCTGCACATCAAAGCAAAGGAAAGCTTAATATCAACACTCAAACACTGGCAAATGTTTCAGTCCAGGTAACCAGGGCTGCAGAGAATCAAAGGAAATGTTGGACTGTCGTCTTTGTGTCTCCTTCTTGTCCTTTTTTGCATCTTTGTGCTCATTTTGCAGCCGTTTTGGAATACTAGTCCTTCTGTGTCTAAGAGGTGATCCTTTTCTGTTTGCACTGAACACACATGGGTTTGTGTTCATTTTGTGTCTCTTTGTATTTAGTTCTGTCTCTCTCTGCTCAGTTTTGTGTCTCTCAGGTCTTTACCACCACTTTGTGGCTCCTGATGTTTGTTTGGAGTAACCTCATGTCTTTGCTCTTGTTTTTCTCTGTTTGTATTGATGTGTAGTTAATAGTTTAGTCAGTTTAAATCTCTTTTTGCTCATTATGTGTGTCTTTATGTTCATTTTGCATCAATTGTGGTTGTTTTGTGTCACTTTTTGATCTTTTTGTGCTTCTTTGCAGTGGGCTGTCCCACTTTGTCACAGTCTTTTGGCTCTTGGTGTTTGTTTTGAGTGACTTTGCATGTCTTTGCTGTTTTGTCTCTGCATTGACTTTGCATTTGTTTGTGTCCATTTTGTATCTCATTTAATCATTTTATGTTTTTGTTTGCAGTCATTTTGCATTAATGTGTTCATTCTACATCTCTTTTTGATTGGTTTGTGGCTCTGCTGCCATTTTGCATCTATTGGTCCTTTTGTGCATTTAACAGGTGGTTTTATCTCTGTTTGCATTGAATTAGTAACTCTTTGTGTTCATTGTGTGATTCTGTATTTGGTTTACTCTCTGAGGTTGATTTCCGTCTCTTTTTGTGTGCCTTTGTAGTTTGTCTCTTTTTGTCATCGTGTTGTGGCTCTTGGCATTTGTTTGGAGTAACCTTGTGTCTTTGCTCTTGCTTTTTCTCTGTTTTTATTGATTTTGTGTGTGTGTGTGTGTGTGTGTGTGTGTGTGTGCCTTTTGCATCTAGTTTAGTCAGTTTTAATTTTGCATTTTGCATCTCTTTGTCATTGTTTTGTGTCTCTTTGCAGCAATTTGGAGAACAGTAAGCCTTTCTTGTGTCAGAAACAGGATTTTTTTCTGTTTGCATTGAACTAGCATCTGCTCGTATTTATTTTTCACATCTTTGTATTTGATTCTGTCTCTCTGTGGTCGAGGCTGCTTACAATGAACTAGAACATGAAAATTTCTGGACTTTATGGCTTTTGTTGTTCTTTTTGGGTACCAAAACCTTTGAGGACTATATAACATTACACAACATCACAAGGACCAGTAATACTTTTGACTTTGAAAAATAAAAACACTGCTCCAAACCTTCTTTGACGTCTGTTTTGCCTTCATTGCCTGTGACTGCGTTCTGAATGATGTTAGTACAGAGGCTCCTCTGCAGGCTCAGCTGCAACGGTTTCAGTTTGTGGAAGTTCTCCACAGTGAACACATGCCTGCTGGGGGGATCAGTCGCCATCTCAATCAACTCTGCTTCGACGGCATCTTTGATTCCTACGGCATAAACTGTGACCCCAGCCCGACGGAGATTGGCTGCCGGGATGCTGACGTCGTCCTGGGACTGACCGTCTGTGATCACCACCGCCACCTTCTGGACGCCCTTCCTGCTGCCCTGTTTGAACAGGTTATCCAGGGTGAACGTCAGGGCTGCTCCAGTGTTTGTTCCACCTCCATTGTAAGGCATGATGTTGACGAACTGCAGAATTTCAGCCTTGGAATCGAAAGTGTTGAGGTAGACGTGCGCTGTCTGCATTGTGTTGTACGTAACGATGCCCACTCGGACTCGGGCCAGACTGACATCCAGGCCGCTGATGATCGAGTGTAAGAAAATGCGCACCAGCTGGAAGTTGGTCTCTGTGATGCTTCCAGACTCATCGACAATAAACACGATGTCTGCCACGTTGGCTCCTTTGCAATCTGTGAAAGGAGTTTCATTAGTTAGCGATCTGCTTCTTCACCTTTTAGACACCATAGAAATACTTACTATGTATTACAGAGTCTCAAGAGTCATGAAAACATGTTATTGTACTTACAGCTGTTTAAAAGCTGGTGTTAACCCTCTGAACTCTGAAACCTGCTGGCAGGTTTGAAAGGCACGTTTTTGTTAAAAATGTGATGTGTAGTTCTGGTGAGAAAATTAACCAATTAAAGCTTAAAATTGTGATATTTCATAAGTTTTCTCTCAAAGTACAAAGATTGGATTTTGAATTAAATTGAACTTAATTCAAATAAATATGCTGAATATCAGTCAAGAAAAAATAGAAAACTGATTATGACACCACAAACCTCAAAATGTAACATTTCTTTTTCTTTAATTGGCAAAATGACACCAGTTGTCAGCCAGAAACTTTTGACTTATAACTTTAAAACAGTCCTTGAATGTATCATATGTGTCATATGGTTCTATGGATAAAACGGACCTGATCTAAGCGTGAAATTGTTAGCTTTCACCAAAAAAAATCACTTCATTCTTCACTATCAAAATTGAAAATAAAATAAAACAAAATAAAATAAAAAATACCCAAAAACAGATCCCGTAAAAAATTAAAAAAAAATATTCATAACTGAGAAGCTGTGACCAACAGTAAATTGTAATATTTACCATTGCTGTTGTGTTACAGATGTATTTTACATATTTAAAAAAGTTCAGTTGGTAAAATATTTACAGTTTATAGTGTGTATAGATATATTTGATGTCACCATCTTTTTCCAGTGTTAATAACACTTGTGGACATTTGGGAAAATGTTGGACGTGTTAATTCATTTTTTTCCCATTATTTTTGCTTTGCTTTCATTTATGGCAACAGAATAAAAACAGGAATTATCTCTGGATTTTCACATTTCCCATGGTCCTTAAACTAATCACGCCTGATGTATTTTAAAATTCTGACAGTTCATCAAAATCATGGTACTCCAAGTGTCTGACTGAATAATGAGTCAAAAACTACTTTTTTGTTCTAACCACAACTTGTAATAAACAAAGAATACTGAGCTCCAACTGTGAAGCCATGACTGACTCAGCTGAGACCAACAGGCCGGCGACAAATGTTTAGAGAGTTTTCAGGTGAACTGCAGGCGGTGTTTCCACAGAGCAGAGAGGAGACGACAAGAAAGACTGAGAGGAAAATTAAATGTACTATATCAATAAAATAAATACAGCATGGCTCATAAACAGCATGGTGAAACTCTGGTGAAAATCTTTCAACAACTGATATGTCAACTAGAGTGGAGAGTTTGTAGAGTACTGGTAACACCTGTGGAAAAATGTTGGTTTTAGGTTTTTTTTCCACTTTTGTAAAATAATTATTTAGACAAATTCTTTTTTTTTTCTTGTTTTTTTTCTTTTTGCTTAGTCATACTGCACAGAAGACTTTTCTGAGTTCTGTCTCTTTCTAGTCATGGTTGTGTTGTCACCATCGAGGTGCAGGACTTTCTATTACAGTTAAAAATTAGCCCAATGTGACAAAAAAATTTGACAGGAGGAAAACGCATCCAGAAACTGCTCAGAGTTCAGAGAGTTAAGAAACAAACAAACAAACAAATGCAAATAGTTAATTATTATTGTAATGATTCTAACAGTTATTTTATTCTCTAAATCAACTGATGACAATGATAAACGTTCTTACCTTCAGCAACGGGATCCACTTGGGTTGGAGTGAATGAGACCACTGAATCAAATGCAAAGCCAGTGTTACTGATGCATTTTTATGCTTTGTTGTGTGTTCAACAGCTTCTAAATCTGCAGTTCTGGATTGTTTTATGTGTGCAGCTGATTGATCTATGTGTGCTTCATTTGCAAACTCTCTACTGTGGGTTTCCTCTGGAGGTACATAATCGTGTATTTTGAATTAAACTAAACTTCGCTGAATGAAATATACTGGATTTCAATAAAAAATGGTAGAAAACCAAATAGGGGTCTTTTTCATATGTGGATTTGTGATTTTTACATTTTTTTTTTTCAACTTTCAAGATTTTTGACTCCCACTTAAAGAATTTGAAAAACCTCAACATGTCAGTGGACAATAAGAACAAAAAAACAAACAGTTTAAGCCTCTGAATCCTGGGTTAGAAAAGAATGAGGTTTTTTTTTTGTTGTTATTGTTTTTTGGGTTTTTTTTTTTTTCTAAATCAGAAGAATTACACCATTTGTCAGTGACAGAAATTGTAAAAAACAGAACAAATCGTCAGGTTTTCCACTTTCAAGCAGTTATCTAAGTAGCTGTGTATGACATTTCACATGCCATCCAGTTTGAAAAACAAAAACAAAAACACAATCTAAGCTTAAAATCATGATATTAAAAAAATAAAAATAAAAAATAAATAAAAAAACTCTTTATTTCACATGAGTAATTAACAAAAAATTCTGGTTTGCTCTAAAAAGAGCCTGTAAAAAATGTACATTTTGAGCCTCTCAGCACCACTGATTCTCCACGACTGACTTCTACCACAGTGGGAAAATTCATTTTTTTCAGGTGAACTGTAGGCAGTGTTTCTACAGAGCAGAGAGCGAAAAAAAAAAAAGTGTGAAGACAAATTACAAATGTAAATAGTTAAACATTTACAGCATTGTTCCAGTGTTGGTCACACCTGTGGACCTGCTGATTGCATTTTATTTAAAAAAAAAAAAAATAAACATAGATCTTCAACTTTTGTGTTTATTTTGTATGATTTCTATTATCTCAACTGTGTCATACTGCACATAAGACATTTTTCTTAGTTCTCTCTTCCTCTAGCCATGGTTCGGCTGGTTCCATAGAGCTAAATTATATTACAGTAAAAAAAATGAGCCCACCGTGAGGTCAAAATGAGACAGAAGCAAAAAAACACCCAGAAACTGCTCGGGGTTCAGAGGCTTAAAAAGAGAAATTTAAATAGTTTACTATTACAGTAATGCTGCTAATAGTCATGTCATTGTGTCTACAGTAACTGATGACAATAATAAACGGTTCTCACCTCCAGGACCTTGGTCCTCTCTCTTGCCTATGAGGAAATGTTTCAGCACATCAAAGTTAATAGAATCGAATGCATAACTCTTGGTGGAGAAACGGTCCAGTGCGTCCAATGAGGCACCTGCGCTCATCCCCACAATAATCACTCCGTCTAGTTTGAGTTTCTCAGCAATGCTATACACAGGATCACTTTTTGGAGGATCTTCTGCAAGCACAACGACCAAAAACTGCTGGCTGCCCAGCTCCGCCCGACCGCCTGCCTCTGCGCTGAAGAAGCGAGCCCTGGCTTCCTCCATGGCGGCGCTCACGTTCCCCTGTTGGTCTAGTTGTGGCCGCAGTCGGAAACGTCGGGCAGGTGGCATCATCTCCTGTTTGGTTTTAAAAGAATTCAGCCGAAATTCGAGCCTGACATCCTGAGTGAACTGTGCCAAACCAACACGATTGGCCGATGGTCCAATGTTGTTCCGCTCCGATGCTATCATTTTGATAAAGTCTGTCCTGAACAGCGCGAATTTCTCTTGAGTCATGCTGCTGTCCACCAAGAAGAACATATCTTTAAACTTGTCCGCCAAAACTGAAAGAAGGCAGAAACAAAAGCATTTAATTGCAGCAAGTCTCATTAGCCCAGGAGGGTCGGTACACCAAGAGCAGTAAAACAGTTGGTGAACCAACAGTTCTGGCCAAACTTCTAAAACAAAGAGAATTTTTCAACAGACTTTTTACAGTTTTTTTTTTTAACACTTAGGTGTTCATTTGCAGATTATATCTACTAAAATCACAGAAAAAAAGTACTAATTTATATGTTGGTTGCAAAAAAAAACAAAAAAAAAACAACCAAAAAAAACCAAAACAGGCCAAAACTGTAAATAATGTCCACAAATTGTCTTAGTAACTGAAACTTAGAGTACTCACGAAAAGTTAGACAAAAAAATTGAGAAGTACTAAATAAAAGCATGAAAATAGCTTCAGCCACATTGCACATATTACAGGTGATCTAAAAGCAGGTCGATTAGCAGCTTAAGTTAACTACAGCAGTCATTTTTCATTCTTCACGTGACTGTTTTCTTTTCCAGGTGTAGACTAAGAATATCTTCCAGTTTGTAGAATCAAAGAACATCACTGGCATTATAAATTAACCTAACAAGTTTAAATATTGCTTGTTATTGGTTAATATACTTTTTATTTAGGAATGATTGTGACTTAGATTACATATTGGGAATGTTAGCTACTACCTTCTCTAACAACAATACAAAATAAGACCACATTTGTTTTAATCAGTGTGGGCTAAACCTTACCAATTTGACTATTAAGGCTAAACTTGGACTTGAACTTAACTTTGTACAAACTAGCTTTTGGAATTAAACAAAACAAATATCATAGCTACACCTACACTTGTACTTACTAGGAATCAACCCTGTCTAGAAATGCTGACAGGAATAGCTTTGAACAAGCACTGCGGATCTGACATGCAGTAAACAGAACATGGAGCAGACTGTTGGGCTGCCGCAATTAGCCGACATAATCAGCAGACAGTATTTTTAATTATCAAAATTCTTCAACTCATCCGAAGAAATGTTTGTCTTCCGTATCACAATATACTTTTCAAATTCATGACGTCAGCGGTTTTTGGCTTCAGTCTTTGTTTGGGTTTTACAAAATGGCAGCTACAGCTAAACCCGACTCGGTTCAGGGAGTTCTTCAAATGATGGCAGAAAAAGAGCGCGGTTTGTACACTGAGCGGACTTTGGATGTCAGACCACAGCATCACTAACACCAGAACAGAAAACACACTTTACATCTGTTAGCTTCTCTCGGGCTCTCTGTGCTCACATAAACTGAACTCCCAAAAACGCTGTTCTTACTGACAGAACCTTCTGTTTGTGTTGTCAGACAGCAGAACGAGTATGAAACAGCGATTCAAAGGCAGCTCATTCAGGCTACATGCTGTCAATGATCATTCTCGTCTGACAAACTCACCAAACACATGAGTTAAAGGTGCCTGCTGTGCAATATATAGGAAAGGAGTTGCTGTAATTCTGTCCTTTTTCATTTTGTGACAGGCTTCAATAAAAACTTATTCTTTTGGAGTTGCATTATTAATTCAAGCAACAAGTTCAGTTTTTAATTGATTTTTTTTTTTGTCATGTTAGCAGTTTAACTCCTCTGTTTAGAGCTTTATTATGTAAACCATGTTTCCATTTTGTACTATACTCAATTGCACGATGACATCCAGTGGGTCAAAATGAAAGAAATTTAAATGATGCGATAATTTTGCTTTTTTTGAAGGGAAAATAGTTGTTTAGATTATTTTTGTTCAGATTAATGGATAGAAGGGTAATTGTTATTGGCAGCCCTGGTGGACTGTAGAGGTTAAAGGCAAGGTGGGATGATCACAACCAAACTTCCACAGATGCTCTCGACTTTTCTGCATTTCAAAACTGGTCAGTGATTTTTCCTGAAAAGCTGGTGTCCAAATGAAAACGTTAACTCTATGAATGAGCACTTACCTTGCTGCTGTTTCTCTATGGAGTCGCACACAGTTTCCAGCATTCTACCGGTCAGCCTCTGCAGAGTGTCATAGCTGTCGATGCTGAGGCTGAAACGCGGATGGCTCGCGAGTTTCTTAAGCTCCTCCTCCTTGATTCGTCCCACTCCGATGGCGAACAACAGGACGCCGTGCTCCCTCAGCTGCTTGCTGGGTTTTGATATGTCATCCACAGAGTCTCCGTCTGTGATGACCACAGCAATCTGCGGCACCCGCTGCTTGGCTCGGCTCCCGGCCTGTTCAGTGAAGTACTGCTTCCGGAGCATGTCCAGGGCGTTTCCCGTTAGCGTGCCGCCTTTCCGGTAGGGGACTTGCCTCACTGCATTCAGCAAGGACTGCTGGTTCGTGTGGTCCTTCAGCAGGAACTCCCGGTGAAAAGTATCGCTGAATTGGGCCAAGCCGATCCGAACTTTGTTGGGGCCGATGTCCAAACTCATGATGATGTTGCTCAGGAATGTGCGGACCTCCTGAAAGCTTTTGTCTGTGATGCTCGAGGAGCCGTCGACCAGGAAGACAATGTCGCCCACAGTGGCATTTTCACACTCTGGAGACGCAAGAAAAACATCAGAACTGCATTTTCATCACAGATTTTACAACATATATATATAGGGTTGAAAAATCACATTAAAGGCCATGATATCTATTGACCTCTGATCCCCAAATCCCGTCAGTAGGTCTGAAAGGCACATTTTCTTTCTTTATTAAACCCACAACGGTCACAGAAATAACTTGAATCTGACAAAAGTAATGACAAACAAAAATTCTATGAAAATTAAGCAATGATGGTGCCACTAGAAAAGATTGAAAATAATGTGACCATAGGGACATGTTCAATCAAGGTGTGTCCTCTAATTAGCATCACAGATGTCTACAAACTTGTAATCAGTCAGTTGGCCTATTTATAGGTTTACAAGTAGTCACTGTGCTGTTTGGTGACATGGTGTTTACCACACTAAACATGGACCAGAGGAAGTGAAGGAGGAGAGAGTTGTCTCAGGAGATTAGAAAGAACATCATAGACAAGTATGTTAAAGGTAAAGGCTATAAGACCATCTCCAAGCAGCTTGATGTTCCTGTGGCTACAGTTGCACACATTATTCAGAAATTTAAGATCCATGGGACTGTAGCCAACCTTCCTGGACGTGGCCGCAGGAGGAAAATTTATGAGAAATGGAAGAGACGGATAATACGAATGGTGACGAAAGAACCCAGAACAACCTCTAAAGACATTAAAGGTGAACTCCAAGGTCAAGGTACAGCAATGTCAGATCGCACCATCCGTCGTTGTTTGAGCCAAAGTGGACTTCATGGGAGACGACCAAGGAGGACACCGTTGTTGAAAACAAATCAGAAAAAAAGCCAGACTGGAATTTGCCAAACTGCATGTTGACAAGCCACAAAGCTTCTGGGAGAATGTCCCATGGACAGACGAGACAAAACTGGAACATCAGCTCTATGTTCACAGACGCAAAAATGAAACATATCCAGAAAAGAACACTGTCCCTACTGTGAAACATGGAGGAGGCTCTGATATGTTCTGGGGCTGCTTTGCTGTATCTGGCACAGGGTGTATTGAATCTGTGCAGGGTACAATGAAATCTCAAGACTATCAAGGTATTCTAAAGAGAAATGTGCTGTCCAGTGTCAGAAAGCTTGGTCTCAGTTGCAGGTCATGGGTCTGGTAACAGGATAATGATCCAAAACACACAGCTAGAAACACCCAAGAATGGCTACAAGGAAAACATTGGACTGTTCTGAAGTGGCCTTCTATGAGCCCTGATCTAAATCCTACTGAACAGGGGTCGGCAACCTTAAACACTCAAAGAGCCATTTGGACCTGTTTCCCACAAAAAAGAAAACACCAGGAGCCACAAAACCCTTCTGACATCTAAAATAAAGACAACACTGGATATATGTTTGTTTGTTACCTTTATGCTATGTACAAAAAACTATAGTGTGTTGCATTTATGAAATCAATGAACTGCTGCAGAGAAAACGAAATTCAATTTCTGCAACAAAAACATTTTGACCGCCCAAAAAAAAGACGCTGGGTTTGAAGGTTACTTTGAAATAAAATAGTCAGTGTCTGTTTGAGTCCTCCTCGTTTATATGAAACAAAAAGCCGAACTTAAATGTTCCACCTGCAGCAAAGCAGAACAGCGTGTGGTCGGCCTGCTGACTGTAGCTGGACTGCTGACCAGACCAGTGACCTGCGGTGAGGTTCATGGCTGGTGAGGCACCGACTTCATCAGAATCTGATTTACAAACATATGCACTCTACACAGCAGCAGATTTGCCATTTGATTGGCAGCAGTTTACAGGTTATGTTTCATATCTGCATTCTTTACACATACAAGCGGTAGCCCACAAAACATATGTTTCTTTTTTTTTTTTTAAAGTTATTGCGGTCTTACCTTTACCTTTAAGTGAAGTCCATGCTCCGCTCCTTCTGGACAAAAAAACTGTTACTTTTTTGTAAAAATCTCCTTATCTTCCTTCGCTGCACTTGACTTGCTAACTGTATATTGTACCTGTCTAGTTTGCTGTCACTTGCTCTGCAGCCACAGAGTCACAAGAAGCATGTCTGGGATCAGAGCGCCCCCTGCCATGAGGCCAGAGAACTGCCTGCCTCACCTGGAACCTCTTTTCAGCCGGTTATGATCGCTCAGCACACGAAACACGTTACACATACAGTTGGTAACAAAAAACACTGTTCATTATTATATACATCAGCTGAACTATGGAGCATCAGTTCATATATTAAATGTGTTTCAACCATGTTATTGACGACATCCAGACAGCAGCACGCTGTCACTGCAGGCAGCCAGCAGGTAGNACATCCAGACAGCAGCACGCTGTCACTGCAGGCAGCCAGCAGGTAGGGAGGCTTAGCCTGCTGCCTCACTTGGATTGCGCAATCCCTCACTTCACTGGCTGCCTGCAGTGACAGTCTATGCATGGCAGTTTGCGCAGTGAGGGATTGCGCAATCCAAGTGCGGCTCAGGTCACCGCTGCCTCACCGGCTTCTCTTCCAAGCATTTGAATGGGAAATTACAAAAATTCAGCTAGTTTGAATTTAAAAATCGTCAAAACTGACGAGGCTAAATGAAAAATAAATACTTTATAGTACAAATCATTGGATCAATATAAGCATTTAAGTTATTTCATCATTATGTATTTTTTTTCTTTCCATGATGTCTCCCCTGACCGCACGTCACTGGACCAGACTCCTGACCGACTGTGAGCGCTTTGGGACGGGAGGAGCTCACGGCAGCACGGCCGCTCTCTGAGGACAGGACCTGCAGACCGACACGTGTTTTCACGTCAGAGTTTCCAAAACACCAAAACAGTCTCCAGTAACGCAAGAAGCAGTCGCTAGATTTGTCCCTAGTCACTTTTGACAAAAAAAAAAGTCGCCAAGTGGATTTGGAAAGTCCCCAGATTTAGCGAGAAAGTCACCAAGTTGGTAACACTGTGGGTGTCGCGCTGCGCATCGGTGAGTGTGATGCATAATTTGAGCAACAAAAAAAATTAAAAATGTTACAAGCTATAATCTTCAAATGTAGAATTACATTTTTAAAAGTAAAGAACTAAAATAAAATAAATTTTAATTAGATACTCATTATTTATTTTCCAAAGCCACAAGGAGCCGCAGCAGAGGTACGAAAGAGCCTCATGTGGCTCCGGAGCCGCGGGTTGCCCACCCTGCTATTGAGCATCTGTGGAAGGAGCTGAAACATGTCGTCTGGAGAAGGCACCCTTCAAACCTGAGACAACTGGAGCAGTCTGCTCATGAGGAGTGGGTCAAAATACCTGCTGAGAGGTGCACAAGTCTCATTGACAGTTACAGAAATCGTTTGATTGCAGTGATGGCCTCAAAAGGTTGTGCAACAAAATATTAAGTTAAGGGTACCATCATTTTTGTCCAGGCCTAGTTTCATGAGTTTATTTTTAAAAAATAATTCTGTTGAACCACGGTTCAAAAGCAATGTCTGATTTTCACAGCTTAATTTTCATAGAATTTTTATTTATTATTGCTTTTGTCAGATTCAAGTTATTTCTGTGACCATTGTGGGTTTTCTTTCATTAACCGAGTCGTACCAACAATTTTGTTCACATGTGTAACTGTGACGAGCTAATTAGCATTTATGAACCAATAGCTTTCCATAGCTTAAGTTTCACCAGCTGTGATGTTCACTGACATTTTTGTAAAATGTGAAAGTGAACAGGAAACAAAACTCCAAAGCAAAAAACACACCAATACCTCATACATACAGTACTTCAAATTTCAAAAACACAACTTGACATGTTAAGCACTCACCTGTTGCCTGAGCAGCGACGGCACAGAAATATGAAGCTGCTGTGAGGCCGAAGAGAAGAAGACCCGTTCTTCCCTTCATGGTGAGACAGCTCATGGGGTTCTCTCCTCCTACAGTGAGGACAGAACCAAGCTACTTTGGAACTCCATTTTCACATACAGCACTAAAACCAAACGTATTGTGACGATGCTATAAAATCAGCTACATCGGAAAAGAGCTCCTCTCTGACCACCACAGAATGTGCTGTTTTTTTGCATATACAATAACTTTAGCCTTGCAAAGTTTTACCTTCATGATATGATTATTTCCAGAATTACAGGCCTTTGAAGCACACAGAAGTGGGCCAAAATTACATAATTAAAGTTTACTTTTTACACCATTTCTGAGCCTCATAGCCTCATAAGTACAGGGTATAGACGTAGGGAATTTTAGAGGCTTAAAAATACATTTGAACTCTATTAAAATCAATTTTACATCCACTCTAGGTGTCACAGTCTAAAGACTAAACCTGTTTTGGTTTTTTTTGTTAATTTTCTCTATAACCAACTTTGAACATCAATATTATGGGGTATATCATAGTTTCAACAGCAAAACTGCAGCAGTTTAATGTGTATAAAACAGAGTCTAGAAACAAACACTGGTTCCCATCAGCATGTATGATAGATGGTGCAAGATTTGGACCAACTACTAAGTACTTTAAGAGGATGTAACTCTGAAAATATTCACAATATGAAGGTACAACTTTGCAGGGCTTCAATAAATATACTGAAGTTTTTGTAGATACAAAAAACTCAGCTGATTCTGAGGAGGTCACGAGCGAGGCTCTGATTAATTTCTGATTAAATGACAAAAGAGTATAATAAAAGCGCTTTAGGATAAATCTGAGGAGGCATGAGAGGACAGAAAAGTAGAAGAAACATGTTTCTATAGATGTCTGGCCGACAACGTTATGAGCTAATTTATAAACAGGGACTTGTGTTGCATTAATGTCTTTATATGGCAGGGTAAATGTATACGACGCCTTGGGTAGAAAAAAGAAAAACTTTGCTGGGGTGGTAGATGGAAAAATGTTTGACTGAATCCTCAGGCTGCCACACAGGCTTCAGTTAAGATTTTTTTTTTTTTTTTTGAAGAGCCTGCTGAAGTGATAAATACAGACTTCCAAGGGCGGAAGGAGAAACCAAACAACTGTCAGCCGTTTATGAGCACTCTGCTGGAGGAGTCTCAGCAGTGACTGGAGAGCAATTTTCAGACAGATATAGACCACTGCTGTCTTCATGCACTCATAGATGTTTGTCTTTCAGATGCTGCTGTTTGTCTTTTGACGCAGTTTGCATGAATGAAAATAGTATTACATTTTAATAATAAAGCTCTGCAGAAGCCTTTAGGCTAAAGTTGCTTCAAAATTTTAAGTACTTCTCAAAAACAACTCGCAGCAAGAAGGCG